AGCTGGTAGTTTCGAACTGGTGACCTTGCAGTTCACAGCCCAATTCGTAACCACTACGCTACCAGAGCTCATATTATATATATATATGAAAGAGAGAGAGAGAGTGTTGGAACTTAGCAGACAGCACACAGCAACAGTAATATACATGTTGTTGTTGTTGTGTGACATTTAGTAAGTTCTGACTCATGGTAATCCTGTGTAGGGTTTCCAAGAGTGGCTAGCAGTTTTGACCTGTTGACCATGAGGTTACTAGTATAGTGCTATTCTATGTTGTTGTTGTTACGTGCCTTTGAGTTAGTCCCAACTCATAGCGACCCTACTTAAGATTTCTGAGGAGCATCTGGTGGGGCTGAACTACCAACCTTGCAGTTCAAACTAACCTTGTGGTCCAGTGCATTATTCTTAAACACTACACCAGGACTCCCATTTATCCCATAGCTTCCCAAGTAAATGGTTCACACTTTTGTAAAGGCTGCAAGTCCCAAGTCAAAGGATTGGACATCAAACTACAGACTTTTCATGACTCATGTAGCTACAGAAATAGATCCAGAAAATATAACAAACTGATACTTCACAAAGGAACAAAGGCAATTCAATAGAGAAAAGATAGTCTTCTCAAGAAACAATGCAAAATTAATTCAAAAGAAGTGCTAAAGAATAACCTAGACACAGACTTTATAAGTTTTGGAAAAATTAACCCAAAATTAATTGTAGATGTAAAATCAAATACAAAACTAAAATCCTAGGGGAAAAAAAGAAATAGAGAAAATCTCTATGCTTGTAAGTTTGGAAATAAGCTTTAGCTCCAACACAAAATCATTATTTATGGTTCAAAAATGATAAATTGTATATAATTTGAATTTTTTATGAGAAACTGGTTAAGTCACAAATGGTTTTGCTATAATTAGACACTTGAGTAGATAGAAGAATAATTCGATCTGTGTTCTACATCTTTCACCAAACAACATAATATACAATCAAATATTTAAACATTGGAGAAATATTAAAACTGAATTTTTATGATTTCGAAGTGGAAACGAATTTACAAAATATGGTACTCAAAATATATTACAGTATAAAAATTCAACTAAATATATATATAAACTTCCCAAACTAGTAGTATATCTCAAATGAGCAATGACAAAATGGAAAAAGTTTAAATGCTATTGCTAGCTATGCTTTTTAAAAAAATTTATTTACAATAAATGCTCCTCGGAAACCCTATACAGGTTTGTTATGGGTTGGAATTGACTCGACAGCACTTAACAACACAATATATGTCTATAATAAAATTGTAGGTGAATACAAATTGGTACAAAATATGTTCAGAAATCTCATAAAAATTGTATATTACTTTTATATCTTATTCCGTGGTTGTAAAAATAGATTCATGGATATAAAACAAGGCAATATCTCTCTTTCCTAAGAATTTCATATCAAAGGGTGTGATAAATATCAGAGAGTATTCACAAGCCTGGACATCAGGATCATCGCTGTCTGATCATCCCTTTCCCCCTGACCCCCAGTTGTTCTGTGTCTCCAAGAAGAGTCATGATGGTTTCCCCAACTCAAGTACTGACTTCTAAGAAGCTAGAGTGGTTGTCACCAGACTTAGTCTTTTGTACCTTCCCCCTAGGCACCACATGCAAATCTCCCTGGTGCATCTCAGAGATATCTCCATCCAATGCTTGGTTTCTGTTGCAGTCTTCACAGTCCTGATGGCCATGCAGACACAGTGGACCCTCCTCTGCCTGCTGGCAGTCTCCTTAGGTGAGTGTCTATGTGTCAGGGACTTTAGGACTACAGTGTGTTTGTAGGACACACTGACTCACCATGACTCTGCTTGTCTCCAGGTGTCATGTCAGAACCAACACTTCAGGAGTCTGGCCCAGCACTGGTGAAACCCTCACAGACACTGTCTCTCACCTGCCTTGTCTCTGGGCAGTCTGTAACCAGCAGTTACTACTGGAACTGGATCCGCCAGCACCCTGGTAAAACGCTGGAGTGGATGGGATACTGGACAGGAAGCACAAATTATAACCCGGCTTTCCAGGGCCGCATCTCCATCACTGCTGACACGGCCAAGAACCAGTTCTCCCTGAAGCTGAGCTCTGTGACTGCCGAAGACACCCCTGTGTATTACTGTGCAAGAGCACAGTGATAGAAAGTCATTATGAGCTCAGACACAAACTTCCTCTTACAGGAGTCCTACAAAAAGTGGGCAGCAGGGGTCACTCAAGACCACCTAGCAAAGAGTTCAACTTCGGAAGCAGGTGGAGAGAAAGACCTGAGAATTTCTTCCTTTCAAAGTAAAAGGCTTCTTTTCATTCCTTCCTGTTTACAAGGGGACCTCCCTCCCTCCCTTGCCTGGGTTCTTCATTACTTCAACTCATTCAGAGTCTGCACTTGAAAAAGGCTCTTCCTCCTTCCCTTTTTTTTTTTTTTTCTTTTTCTTTTTTGTATTTAATTACAGATCTGACTTCTCTATCTGAACTAATCATTCATATACTACCAAAACTACAGATATTCTATGTCACATATGATCTTATAGAACTTATGTCACAAATAGAATTTGGTATAATTCTTCTATTTGGTTGTTGTTGTTGTTGTTGTTAGGTGTCATTGAATCAGAACCGACTCATAGCGATCACATGGGCTGCAGAACAAAACAAAGTTGAATCCAGGGCCAACCTCACTACCGCTGCCACACTTGAGTCCATCAATGCTGCCACCTGGCAAATCCATCTCGTTGGGGGTCTTCCTATTTTTCTCCAACCCTCCATCTTACCAAGCATGATATCCTTCTCCAGTGACTGTTCCCTCCTGACAATATGTCCAAAGTATGAGAAACAAAGTTTGGCCATCTTGGCCTCCAAGGAGCACTCTGGCTTCACTTCTTCCAAAAGAGATGTATTGGTTCTTTTGGCAGCCCATGGAACTTTTAGTATTCTCCTCCAACACGATAATTCAAAGGCATCAATTCTTCTACAATCTTCCTTATTCGCCGCCCAGCTTTCGTATACATATGAAGTTATTGAAAATACCATGGCTTGGGTCAGGTGCACCATAGTCCTCAAGCTGATAGCTCTTCAACACTTTAAAAAGGATTGTGCTGATTTGCCTAATACAATAGACCATTTGATTTCTTGACTGCTACTTTTGTGAATGTTGATGAAAGGATATGCGGATAGATCTTTGTGATACAATAGTGAATAATTGTTATCAGGACTCATTGTGAGGATTCGAAATGTAAAGGTAGACGTTTGGTAGCAAGGAGGGGAGTGATTAACTTTTCAGTCTAGAAGTGGCAATCCCGGGGATCATCAAGGGAGAAGAGCAGAGAACAGGACTCTACCCAGAGAAGCAGTGATACCTGAACCTCAGCTGGAGGCAGATACTATGACATGGAGAGATGGAGCAGCTGGGGACTTTAGACATAGATAGGGAGAGGGACTGTGTACTGATGACTGGGGGGGCAGGCTTGTAGGGTATGCTTTTTGGTTGGTTGGTCATGTATGGAAGGGATTGTAACCATAGCAATGAAACGATATATGATAGGATGAATGTAAAACTAATGTTCTCCCATGTAAACTATCACATAACTCACAATAAAACATAAATAAAAAAGAAGATGGAATGAACACAGAATCACTGTACCAAAAGGAAATGATTAATGTTCAACCATTTCAAGAGGTAGCGTATGATCAAGAGCCAATGATACTGAAAGAGGAAGTCCAAGGTGCTTGAAGGAATTTGCAAAGATCATGGCACCAGGGATTGATAGAATAAAAATTGAAATCTTTCATGAAACTGAGGTGGCACAGAAGGCTGAACTCACTCATCTATGCCAAGAAATGTGGACGTAAGCTGTCTGGCCAACTGATTGGAAGAGATCATATTTGTGCCCATTTGACTATGCAAAGGCTTTTGATTGTGTGGATCATGACAAGCTATGGACAGCATTGCGAAGTATGAGTATTTCAGAACACTTAATTGTGCTCATGAGGAATCTGTACATGGACCAAGAGGCAGTTGTTTGAACAGAACATGGGAATACTGAATGTTTTAAAATTAAGAAAGGTATGCAACAAGGTTGTATTCTTTCACCATACTTATTCAACCTGTATGCTTAGCAAATATTCTGAGAAGCTGGGTTATATGAAGAAAAAGTGGCATCAAGTTTGGAGGAAAACTTATTAACAACCTGCGATCTGCAGATGATACAACCTTGCTTGCTGAAAGTGAAGAGGACTTAAAACATTTATTGATGAAGATCAAACAGCATAGCCTTCAGTGTAGATTATATCTCAATATAAAGAAAATACAAATTCTCACCACTGGACCAATAAACAGCATTCTTAATGGAGAAAAGATTGAAGTTGTCAAGTACTATATTCTTCTTGGATCAACTATCAACACTCATGGAAGAAGCAGTCAAGAAATCAAATGATGTATTGCATTAGGCTAATGTGCTGCTAAAGACTTCTTTAACGTGTTGAAGAGCAAAGATGTCAGCTTGAGGACTAAGCTGTGCATGACCCAATCCATGGTATTTTCAATAACCCCATATACATGCGAGAGCTGGACAGTAAATAAGACCATAGAAGAATTGACACACTTGAGTTACGGTGTTAGAGTTGAATATTGTGTATATAACAGATTTTGCCCCTACTCCCTTTGACAGTTGCACTAGATACATAGACTCCTGTTGTGGAACTATAGGATAAGCACTGGACTGTGAACCAAAAGGTCAGTGGTTCAAACTACCAAGTGCTCCTCAGAAACCCTATTCATGGTTGTTATGAATCAGAACTAACTCAACAGGATAACAATATATATATATAAATATGTGGATAAGTACAGTCTGAATGGGTATGGGAAGGATGATGGAAGTAAAACCTCAATTATGTAAAGGTTTGATAGATAGTTGTACATTTTATCTTTGCTGCAAACATGTATATGAATGTGGTGGAGTATACAGAGGACAAAATTAGGAAAATATTTTACACATTATCAGACACCTTTGGCGGAAGCCATCCTGCAAATGGCGGGCACCATCCTTTCAAGGAGCAGAACTGCGAGAAGCCTATGCATGACAAGTTCATTGTTTAGCAGAGCAACAATGAATGTTCCCATTGGTTAGCAAAGCTACAAGGGATGGTTTATGCAGGGGCCCTGTGGTTTCTAGCTTTCCCTTGGAAAAATAGTTTATTTCTGATTTCGCTATAAGAAGTTTTAGAAAATCTTGCATAATCATTGGATACTTTAAACAAACCTCACATTATAATAGTTGCCTTTCACATTAACTTTAACTTTCACACCATATTCAATCTTATGTAGTTATAAAAATTAATTTTTACATTAATAATAAGTTTTAGCATTAGAAATAACCACACTAACTAAAGTTTTTGCAATTCAAGTTTAAAATTTAGCAATTCAAGTTTAAAAGTTTTAGCATTCCAGGTGGTTTTAGTCAAGGACATTAAGTCTTTTAGAAAGTAGCTGAAGAGACAGTCAAGGGCAGTGAGAGCTTGGGAACAGAGGTAGGAGTTTGATTAGAAGTTTTGAGAAATTGTTAGCATGAGAGAATTACTGCTTTGTTCTTAACTATGAAACTTTAGGGTACTTTTATGTTCTTGTTTTATTGTTTGATCAATTATATGTATGACCAGTTATAGTGAAAATTATGTTTTTGATTGTAAGCTGTAATTAATGAATCTATAGAAAGTAATAGATGTTGGTAAAGTTAGAAATTAAGATGTAGAACTTTGTTTAAAATTAACCAGACATTTTAGGGAGGATTAGAGAGAAACAGAGTCACTCACAGAAGGCAGACATTATCACGGTAACTAAGAAGTAACTAAGGAGTATAGAGACACAGGAATGTTTGGTGACCTTGTGTTCCTCTTGTACCATTGATGTAACAATATAATATTTGATTGATTTGTAACTGCTTGTACGTGACTGTTATGAGATCATTGTATATTCTAAACGGGATATAAGAACCAACAATTTTGAAATAAACAGTCAAGGCAGCAGTCAGTGAGGGAGTCATCAGAAGAGAGCCATTACCATCATCTGCCTGAGACTCAAAAATGACCCATTGACTCTTTGAGTTTTATTTTATTTATTTATTTATTTTCATTCACCAACTCCACATCCTCCTATCGAGACCCTCCTAATAATTGTGTCGAGGCTGGTCCCGGCACACCTTGAAGGAATGTTTCTGAGCCTAGAGACTCAGGACTATAGTCTCAGGGACAACATGATCAGTTGGTATAGCCTAATCCACAAAGACAATGTTCTACATTTTTATTTTGTGATTAGTGACTGGTATTTTAAAGCTCATGAGCATCCATCTGAAGTACAACTATTGGTTTCTCACTTTGCAGGGGAAAGGAGAGTTATGAGCATTGAAGATGCTTAAAATCAATTGGTTCAATGGATTAGTGGCAGAAATGAACATCATTGTCCATTCATGACCTTGAGGACAGAAGATGGTGCCTGGCTACCACTACCAGCTTTTTTGACAGGGATAACATTAGATAGAGTGGGAGAAAATGTGGATCCAATCACAAAATTCTACATAAGGCTAGCTTCACTTGTCATAGAGAAACTGGACCAACTCAAGACTATGGCCTTTTATCACCCTTCAGATCTACAACTGTAGTCACTCGAATGACTCAATTTCAAGACAAGCAGTAGATATTTATATAGAGCAAGGGGACAACAACACTATTGAGATAGTCACAGCATGGATTGATAAACCACAAAAGGTCAAAAGTGCAGTATTTACCAACGGACAAAATTCAGAGTGGTTGGCAAAGAAGGTTGAGTGGAAACCAGAATCGTAGGAAGAACTAGAATAACTGATATTATATGGAAGGCATTATAATCTTTGAAATGAAAAGAAGTATGTGATTATTTAATGTATAGCTGATGCTCTGCTCTGTAAGCATTCACTCAAATCACAAAAAGTTTAAAGTAATAAACCACAGCAAATGAACATGGTGACCCTGTCAAGAACAATTGAACTTATTTGTAAAGAATAACAGTCTGGGTTTTCAGGTATTCAGGCCAATGTCTGCTGCAGAGACACACAGAGAGGGAAGACAAGGTGACACAGAGGCAGAGAATCATGAAAAGCCTGGACTGCAGGAGACTTCAGCATATACCAAGCTCAAGGAGAGTCACTTCCCATGAAGGGGGGAATGGAGGACTGTGCAAAAGCAGTCACAGTGATAGCACTAGAAAGCATTTACAGAAAGATGAGAGTTGGTCTGCCAGTTCCAAATAAATGACCCTGCACTTGAATAAAGAATTGTCTTGTCTTACCTGAGACTCTTAGTATATTCTAATTTAAAAAAAAAATGCAATTTTTTGTTCTGTTGTTTATGTATATGTTCTTATGATTTTATCTAAAAGATAAAAAATAAATATGATATGAAATAAATATGCCACACTAATAAAGTGTGGTCACTCCATACAATAAAGACTGGACTGCAAATCACAAAGTCAATGATTTGAGACTTCCAGCTGCTCCATGGAAGTAAGATGAGGCTTCTGCTCCTGCAAATATTTAAAGCTTAGGAGACCCTATACCGAACTGACTTGATGGCACTTAACAAAAACAACAATAAATGTGTAAGCACAAATATGGCAATGATTATAAAGACTTATTTTTAATTATGAAAGAGACTTGGGTAGTTCTGCTTGCTTTCAATGACAAAATCAATCAATTTAAAGATGCCCTAGAACCTGCAACTAGATGCGAGCCATGGAAGCTTTATGAGAGGAAAAGTAGTATCACATGCTGTGGGCAAAATGTTACAGTAACATTTCTGTTAAGTAATATCTGACTCAAAGCAACACGGTATAGAGTTTCCAATGAGTAAGTTTAAACTACTGGCCTTGTGGTTAGCAGTCAAATACTTATCATACAGTGCCACACAAGGATGTAGCACTTATTGTTGCATTAACATATAGTTGAATCATACAAACTGGAGCTCAGCTCCTAGCAAAGCAAAACCTGGTTGTATAAAAACTTCCATCTAACTATTGAAGATCGCTGATGGCTCAGAATTTTACCAGAAGAATGATTCTTCATCATCTGACACTGATGTAGCCAATATTTAAAGACAGGATTCAAAGCAAAAAGCAAAACATTTATTAAGTATTGATAGCCATGAGAACAGGGAAGTGGAAAATTTCCTAGATCTATCTCTCTGAAGAAAATGGAAAGGGAGTTTTATAGGGATTACGGGTATGGGTTAGGGACCCAAAGAATTTCAGGAACTCTCTGCTGTCTGTTTGATCATTCTATCCAGGCTGTTTCCAGCTGGTGCCATTAATCTCTCCAGGTAGTCATCAGTGCCATTATAAGAGATGTAAGGTCAGCAGTTCAAATACACCAGCTGCTCCTAGGAAACCCTATAGAAGGTAACTATGAGTCAGAACTGAGTCAACCACACTTAAGAACAATGGTTGTTTTTCTTCAGTCCTGTCAATAATCCTCAGAGTAGGGATTGACTACTAATTAAAAAATATGAAGAGATTAATTTTCAAGGCAAAGGTGGTAATTTTGGACTGTAGTAATAGACTGTAGCAGACAGAGAGAGATGAGATATAGTGGGTGGGGGGGGGAGGAGTTTGAAAAGTACTAACTATAACCATTGCAACATCATTAATATCACATGCAAGTAAAGTTTAACTGAAGATAATTAAAAAACAGCTACAAAAAAAGACATCAAAAGGATATTCGAGCTGGATTCAAAACAGGATGTGGAATGAGGACTAGTATTGCTGACATCAAATGCATCTTGACTGAAAGTGAAGAATATCATAAAGATGTTTACTTGTGCTTTATTGACTATATAAAGATTTTTGACAGTATGGATTATGACAAACTATTAATATAGCATTGCAAATAGTGGGTATTCCATAACAATTATGCTCTTGAGAAACGTGCATATAGGTGAAGAGTCATTTGTTTGAATAGAACAAGGGGATACTGAATGGTTTAAAATTAGGAAAAGTGTGAGTCAGGACTGTGTTCTTTCACTGTACCTATTTAATCTGTATGCTAAGCAAATAATTGAGAAGATGGATTATATGAAGGAATATTGGCATCATGATTGGAGGAAGACTCATTAACAACCTACATGATATATCCTTGCTTGCTGGAAATGAAGTGAACTCAAAATATTTCCTAATAAAAATCAAACACCACAACCTTAGTATGGGTTGCATCTCAATGTAAAGAAAACAAACATTTTCACAATTGAATCAATAAACCACATCATGAGAAATGGAGAAACATTTTTAAGATATGATTTTTTTTTTTTTTCAGTCTATCCAGTGTACCGAGGTTGCTTGGCCAAATGTAACTTGCATTGGATACCTAGAGCTTGACTTATGCATAGTAAAATCTTGCCAGTGAGTCACTCCTGTATGAAAGCTGACAATTTGAAATGAGAAATGATATCCTTTAGCAACATTTCCACTACCTCAGAAGTTCATTCATTCTTACAAGGAAAGGATTCTCTGCATCCAAAAACATGTCTACAAGTTATGTGAAATTCCCCAACACTTTCAATATTCCAGTGAAATTAATTTACCAGTCTTCCTTCAGGTTGGTGTCCCAGTGATGTATTCCTGGATTTACAGAGTAAGGGACATTATTGCTTTTTTTGTTTGTTTGTTTGTTTGTTTGTTTTTTCTGGGCAAAGATATGGCATCTCTGGATTACTGGCTTAGCCCTGTATTGGCCTTCTGGATCCATTCCAGACTTGCATCTTATCCATTCCAGACTTGCATCTCATAAAATGCTGAAACGACTTTGTTGAATTATTCCTGTGGGATTAGAATCTTACTTTCTGCATCTAATTTTCATCCTCCAGGTGAACTCTCAACGAAGTCCAAGCCTTTGCTCTCTGTAAATCCTCTGGGGAATACCGATGTGGCATCGGTACTAGACCTCAAGGTCACCAGACACTACTCAGAAACCCTATATGGGTCACTATAAATTGAAACTGACTCAAAGGTACTTAACAATAACAACAACAATGCTATAAATATAGTTACATAAATATATTTATGGTATACATTTATGGCACTCCTGATGTGGCATTGTAGGATCAGCACTGGATCCACAAGGACAGCAACTCAGAAACCTTATTCAGGGTCGCTATGGGTTGTAACCAACTCAATGGCACTTAAGAGCAACATACCATTTATGACCTTGAGAGGGAATTAGAGCTAATACCTCCTCCTCTAAGGAGCTCTGGTAGTGTAGTGGTTACGAATCGGGCTGTGAACCTTAAGGTCAGCAGTTCGAAACTACCAGCCGCTCCGCGGGAGAAAGATGAGGCTTTCTACTCCCGTAAAGATTTACACCCTCGGAAACCCTGTACAGGGTCGCTATGGGTTGGACCCGACTCGACGGCACTTAACAACAACAACAACAACAACCTCCTCCTCTAATGGCAATGGGAGTAGTAGAGCTGTCTGATTTGCCTTCACAGCTGCTCTCCAGTTCCTTCTTGCATCTGGGGAATTTTCTTTTTGATGTTCTGGACCATCTTTTTCTTCTGGCAGGAAGCTTTCACAGACTGCAGTAGCTCAAAAATCTTAGGTACATATTTGATTTCTTTGTTGGCAGACGATATGGGATTATGTTCCTTCTATGCCCGTGGCATATCTGTTGTCTGTGTAAACAATGATTTCTTTCCCTGCTTCTAGACTCAGGACCCTCCCTAGTGCAATGAGCTCAGTTTTATGTGCTGACGTTCCCAAAGGAAGTGGCTCAGATTATAGGTTCTCTATGAGAGTCATGAAGGAGCTCTGGTAGTGTAGTGGTTATGAATCAGGCTGCTAACCTTTGGGTCAGCAGTTCAAAACTACCAGGTGTTCCACGGGAGAAAGATGAGGCTTTCTGATCCCATAAAGACTTACAGCCTTGGAAACCTTGCACAGGGTTGCTATGAGTTGGAATTGACTCCATGGCGCATAACCACAACCACAATGAGGGTCATGACTGTATATTCTTTTTTTTTTTTTTTTTAATGTTTTATTGTGAATTATGTTATAGTTTACATGGGAGAACATTAGCTTTACATTCATCCTATCGTATATCATTTCCTTGCCATGGTTACAGTCCCCTTCATGCATCATCAACCAACCACAGGGTATACCCTGAAAGCCTGCTCCCCAGTCGTAAGCACACAGCCCCTATCCCTTTCTTAGTCTGAACTCCTCAGCCACTCCATCTCTCCACATCATCATCTCTGCCTCCATCTTTAGCATTGCTGCTTCTCTGTATAGGGTTCCACTCTCTGCTCTTCTCGCTTGATAGTCCCAGGGACATCTGCTCCTAGACTGCAAAGTTAATCACTCCCTTCCTTTTGCTACAAAAGGTCTACCTTTACATTTCCAACCCTCACAATCAGTCCTGATAACAGTTATTCACTATTGTATCACAAGAGACCTATCTACATCCCCTTTCATCACCC